AATCGTTTCCAATTAGCAGCACCATTTCCTTGATTATCTGAGGCTACCCGTTGCCTAAGGGTTTTATGAACTTCTTTTCAGAACTGTACTGAAACCTCGTACACGCAAATCTCGATCCTCCACAACATACCGCATATACCATACCATCCAAGGATAGCAGGAAAACTTTTATCTCCTTTCCGAGCTACAAACATCTACGCACTCAACTAGTCAAGAACTTCTATTGATCCCGTCTAGAAGAAAAATCATTACACATTCTATGTCTCTCATATTCATAGAAAATGCACTTCTTCAACCACGGTAGAAATCGACAAGAACTCTCTCAATTCCGTTTGCATAAATTAAACTGCCAGGACAGAATCCTTCTAACTCGACCAAGCTAAGCAAGCCATCAAAACCCAAGAGCATTGCTGCAAAATACTTGTAAGGGCTCATTACCTCGAACACATACGAAGAATTAATCATATCCTTACCATACCGATTCGGTCTACTATCAAGCTATTCCATCTATCTAATTTCCCTTTTGATTCATCATCAACTTGATATTCCCTCTTGCTATAGCACCACAATGCCTCAATCCAGGCTTACCACACGAGACCCAAGCATAAGACCACACTGTCTAAGACCCATGAGCCACTGAATCCTCTCTCAAATATTCCCAGAAACACCACATTCCCAAAATACTTTACTCTGAAGAACTTCCTGCGAATCTAAATCCGTTACCTTTACTTTCCAGATACTGATACATAGAATCCCATAATTAACATAAAAATACCACAAGTCTTGACCTTTTCCAATGAAAACACAGTCTCTAACCACATACACAACCTTAAGACACCTGATACATGTAGAATCTTGAACACATTAAAATCATTCTCGAGAGTCATTTACTTCTTATTCAAACTGCAATTCACCTGATCAAATGAACATAACCACCCGTGCCTCAATAGCACTCTGACACTGCAGGATATGACCTCATCCCAATACAAACAAACATCTTCCTGCTCCATGCACCGAGCATTCTTTACTAACAATAGCTTAAGACATCCTGTGATTCTCACACATCTACGAAGCACCATATAACCTTTGTCAAAATTTTGCTTCACTCGTGCCATCCTCGGCTCAATTTCCGCAACCAGAACTGATTCGCCAGCATGCCTCAAATCGGAACCAACATAGCACATAACCGTACAATTAGCTAATCAATAGCAAACTCCCCAACTTGGCTCGAAGCCATAGATCAAAACACTCCCAACAACTCATAACGCACATATCTTAGAGAAGAAAATCCTTGATTTAGTAAAGTTAATAATTTGCCCCGAGTGATAAGAAAATTGAGTGAAGGTGTTAACTATGGATTGACATGATTCAGAATTAACTTTTGAGGTCAAAATTATGTCGTCAGCGAAGAAAAGATGAGATAATTGAGGCCCTATGGTGCCTATTGAAATAGGGTGCCAAATGTGATAGTCTACTTCGGAATTTATTTTCCTTGACAGCATTTCCAAACATAAAATAAAAATATAAGGTGAAAGAGGATCACCTTGTCTAATACCACGTGTGGGGGAGAAATATTCAGTAGGTGTACCATTTATTAGGATAGCTGTAGACGTGGTGGTGATACAAGACATGATTAGCTTAATAAAATCAGGAGGAAAACTGAGGCTATGTAAAGTGGCAAAAATGAAAGACCATTCCATCTTGTCAAACGCTTTTTCCAGGTCTATCTTAAGCAACATACTAGAACTCTTACCCTTCATTTTTTGAAATCTAGAAATAATTTCCTGTACTATAATAGCATTATCTGCTGCACGTCTATTTTTCTGAAAACTGGATTGAGTCGGGTGTATAAGGTGCTCCAGAATTGGTTTTAAACTATTAACAATTATTTTAGTAATAACTTTATAAATAGTGTTACAAAGGCTTATAGGCCGAAATTGTGATATAGTAGAAGCATTCTTATTCTTAAGAATTAAACAGATAAAAGTGGTATTTATAGCAGGGCCAATTTGATGATCCAAGAAAACCTTATGGCAAAAGTATTTTACAAAATTCCCTATGATATGCTAATATTTTTAGTAAAATAAAGAGTGCAATCCATCAGGTCCAGGCGCCTTAAGAGGTTGAAATGAATTTATGGCAGTTAGAATTTCAGAGTCTTGTAAAGGAATTAATAGACTACTTTGCTCAGCTAGGGTTAGGGTATTAAAAGGGAGTTTTTACAGAATAGTGCTTTGAAAAAGTTTTTATATACTGAAAGTTCCATCTTCTATATTTTAAATTTAAAAACTTTTTTAGTTTGACAAAGTAAATTAGTTTACTATCTCTTATATTTTCCTATAAATTCCAAAATATTCCTCATTAGTCATACACCAAAAATCATAACGCAATGGTCTTTTTCTTTTTCCTCTTACAACTTTGCCTCACATGCTCTTAGTCATTTTCATAACAATTACATAATTGTACCTCAACTTCAAATAAGTTAGGATCAACTATATTAATCATACTTTTTTATTTAAACTCAATTCATAGCATTAAACTATTTTCATAATTGCTAGGTTAAAAATTAATTCATTTTTAGTACATTCTTTTTATATCTGTTTTCTTTTGTATTTCTCCTTTTCTTCTCTCGTTTATAAATTATTTTAATAATTTTATATCAGGTGAGGTGTAAGCTTCATAAATTTTTATATTTTTTAGTTTAAGAAATCGAAAAGAAAATAAAAGGATAGAAAGTATATTAAAAGTTTTAAAAATCAAAGGATTAAACAAAATCATAAAAGACCAAAGAATCTAACTGTTTTACAAGTATGAATAATGCAATAGTGTTAAAATTATTATCAAAACACACATTTGATTACTTCCCTATAAGGCTAAAAGTTATATATTATTATCAAACNAGAGAGGTCTGCCTCGTGGATCTAATCAATAAACTTTATCAATATTATAATTCAAAATATTACTCCTTCATAAATAAATATAAAATTACTTTTAAAAAGTAAAATAATAAAAGTATCATAATAATTTTGGGAGATAAAAAACTAAGAAAAAAACCCAATTATAGCGAGCGGAAGATATAAAGTTCGGCTATTTATATATTCAGGAAAAATGTTCAAATAATATTCACCCTCACGATGTTCTCACTTAGTAAATATGCAATACTATGACTCGTTATTTGAGTTAAGATCATCCTTTTGTTAATCTATTTTGAGGGTTAACACTATTAATTAGAAATTTTAACATATGATTTATCTAGTAATTATTGAGCGAGCCTCGAACGCTGAGTGATAGGCGTGTTTAGGGTGCATAATTATATGTTTGGGGTATAAGCCTCACAATTTAATCCCTACACTTGAGCCGTTGCAAATGCTTAGTCCAGGAGCTTTAAAATATTTATCAACAATAAGAGAAATCGTCTATGTTGAAATATTAAATGTTAAATATAAAGGATGATATTTTTTTTAGACAAGAATGATTTAAAATTCAAAAAATTAGAGAAATTTTCAATAGTAGATGTAAATGTTCGTAATTACCGACAAATAAAATGACATTTAAATGATGGTAATTTTTTTTTTGTCATTTGTATCAAAATGTTTTTACAGCATTTGATATAAGTGTTGTATTTTTACTACATTTTTTTATCAAATGTCGTTGTTTTTATGACATTTTGTACCAAATGTCATTTTTTTACGACATTTTATATCAAATGTCTAGTTTTTACGATATTTTGTAGCAAATGTCGTACTTTTTACGACATTTCTTTAAAAATGTCATTGTTCCGGCGACTTTATGATATTTTGTATCAAATGTCATTTTTTTACGACATTTAGTATCAAATGTCATTGTTTCTACGACAATTTATATCAAATGTCGTAGTTTTTACGATATTTTGTCATAAATGTCAAAAAATTCTTTTTTCCCGACATTTATTTCAATAATCACTAAATAAATGTCGATATTTATTTCAATAGTCACTAAATAAATATCGTCGTCTCCTCAATTTCTTGTAGTGTAACCAAACGTGCAACTGATGACATGCATCACGTTTCTAAACCAATAGAGAATATTAGAATTCTGAGATTTTGGATAAAGAAAATTATGTTTACAAGTTTATACAATATTATTTCTTTGATTATTTATATTCATATTGAGCTTTTGTCTCATTTTTTTAACTTTAGTATTTACAATTTAATTTATTTGAAATCTATCATAGGCAAAAATTAAACTCATGCGTCGACAACACCTCTATGATCACAGCCTTATAAATCTTCTATCTCTCAATTATGTGATTTCTTTACATTTTAATTAAATGAAATTAGAAAGTTTAACTAAGATTTTAGAAAAAATATTTCAATTTTTTTAATTAATTTAAATAATTTAAATAGAAGATAAAATCTTTATAGTCTTTCTTTTTCCTAATTTGACACTCTATTCTATTTAAAGATTGGCGATATAAAAATTATTTCTATAATACCCAAAAATGTACCTATAAAGTACTAATTTGATAAAACACCAAACAACAATAACAATAACAATATACCCAGTATATTCTCATATTTGGAGTCTGGGGAGCGTAGTGTGTCTGCAGATCTTACCCCTACCTAGTGAAGGTAGAGAGGTTGTTTCCAATCACAAAAGTAAGGAGGAGAAGAAGAAGAAGAATATGAAGAAATAATATTTTGAAATTTGATAAAATACCAATTATTACTAATTAAAATTACCTTTTAAAAGGTCCTTTTGGTTAAAAAAAAAAAGATATATTTTTTAAAATTTAAAAAAAAAAGTTTGAAAATATATCCTGCTTTAAGACTTTTATTTTTTTTTAATTTAAAATAAGCACCTCAAATTTCTCAAAAGTTTTGGTCAAACCAACTTATTAAACCTTTTTTTCCCCTCAAAATTTTGATTAAATCTTATTTACTTAAACTGAAATAAATAAATACGTCCTCAAGCTCTTCCCTCTCCACC